GGGGGGGGGGGGGGCGGGGACGGGCGCACTCACCGCGACTCCAGCTCGGGCTGGTACAGGCTGAGACGCCGGCAGCGGGTGCCACTCCACGCGCAGTAGGGGTCTCGGGCGAGGAGGCAGTCCCCACAGGTGGGGTAGAGGCTGCAGCTGGCCACAGGCACCTGGACCACGCCCGAGTGGGAGGAGGCGTACAGCAGCCCCTGGAGCCAGACATGGGGAGGGTGGGCACGGGCGGCTGGCGGGGCCGGCACCAGGCTCTCAGGCCCACCCCAAGGGCCTCTGCCAAGTCCCTGCCACCCCCACTTTCTGACTGCCTGGGCATGAGGCTCAATTCTGTGTGTGTGTGTGTGTGTGTGGGTTTGTGAGTTGTGGGGCTTGAACTCTGGGCCTGGGCTTTGTCCCTCAGCAATTCGGCTCAAGGCTAGTGCTCTACCACTTGAGCCACAGCACCACTTCCTGTTTTGGTGGTTTACTGGAAATGAAGAGTCTCACAGACTACCCGAGCCGGCTTTGAACCGGGATCCTCAGATCTCAGGATCCTGAGTAGCTAGGATGACAGGCGTGAGCCACCGGTGCCCAGCTTTCCCTTGCTCTACTGCTTGAACCACAGCTCTGGCTCTCTGGTGGTTTATTGGAGATAGGTCTGTCACAGACTTTCCTGCTAGGGCTGGCTCTGAACCAGAATCCTCGGACCTCAGCCGCTTCCTGAGTAGCTGGGATTGCACCCAGCTCTGTTAACCCTCCCTCTTCCTGCGGGCAGGGGAGGGGCCCTGCCGGGTGCAAACGTAGGCCCCCAGCCTGACGCGGGGCTCTTCCCAGTCCCCTCACCCTGTGGCTGTCCAGGAGCAGGTTCTGCACAGGCTGTCCTGGAGAGAAGATCTGGAGCTCCTCGATGATGTGTGTGGACGGGCCCACGCTCACCGCCTTGTGCAGACGGCCGTCACCTGGAGGGCGCGTGTACAGGCCGGGTTCTCAGACTCGGGCCATGTCCGACCTGCCATGCTCCCCCTCTGCCCTCCCCCCCCCCCCCGCCAGCCAGTCAGCGGCAGTCTGCAGCGGAAGCTCACCAGTGCCCAGGAAGAGGACGTCGTAGGTGCGGTGCAGGCCGGGCACTCGGTGCACAGCCACGCGCTGGTAGCGGGCCTGAGGCTGCAGCAGCAGCGTGCGGCCGCGGACCTGGCTGTCCATCAGGAAGTGGTCCTTGAGGAAGTTCAGCACCCGGTCTGGCAGCTGCAGGGAGGAGTTGATCTTGCGCTCCCGGGCACTGTTGGTGATACACTGCAGGAGACACAGCGAGGTGAGCCCCCGGTCTGCGGGCCCAAGGTGCCACCTGGCGTCTGCGGGCCCTGCCTAGCCTGCAGGGCGGGGACAGTTCTTTTCCTACATATCTATATCTGTAGATATAGATATATATACACATGTGTTTATGTATGTATGTATTTATCTATATATCTATCTATATAGAGATACATTTCGCCAGTCCTGGGACTCGAACTCAGGAACCTGGGCATTGTCCCTGAGCTGCTTTTGCTCAAAGCTACCATTTGAGCTCTACCATTTGAGCCACAGCGCCACTTCCGGCCTTTTTTCTTTTTTCTTATGTGGTGCTGAGGAATCGAACACCTCTGGCTTTTTCTGTGCATGTGGTACTGAAGAATCGAACCCAGGGCTTCATGCATGCTAGGCAAATGCTAGGCCATGTTCCCAACCCCTGGATAAATTTTTTTTTTTTTTTTTGCCGGTCGTGGGGCTTGAACTCTGGGTCTGGGCACTGTCCCTCAGCTCTTCAGCTCAAGGCTAGTGCTCTACCACTTGAGCCACAGCGCCACTTCCGGCTTTTTCTGTTTATGTGGTGCTGAGGAATCGAACCCAAGGCCTCATGCTTGCAAGGCAAGCACTCTACCGCTGAGCTACCTTCCCAGCCCCCCCTGGATAAAATTATTAATGAATCTAGGTGCCGGAGCCTGCCAGCAACAAAAGGGAATCCAGAATTAGGGAGCGATGACCTTAGAGCTTTACTGTCGCCTCCCAACAGCTAGGTGCCTGTGACTCACACATGTAATCCCAACTACTCAGATCTGAGGATCACAGTTCAGAGCCAGCCCAGAGAGGAAAGTCCATGAGACTCTTACTGCCAATTAACCAAAACAAAGCCTGAAGTGAGCTGTACTTTAAGTGGTAGAGCGCTACTTTGAGAGGAAATTGCCCAGACAGGGACAATGCCCAGGCCCTGAGTTCAAGTCCCCGGACTGGCACATACAAATAACCGGCTCCCAGTGGCCACGGGGGTGGGCCATCACAGAACCGCCTGGACGGGGAACACTCGAGCCCAGCCTGGACTAACTCACACGAGCAAGCCCGGGCTCTCCCCGCCCCATCTTAAAGAGAAGAAAAGCCTAGGGGAGGCTGAGTGGTTTGTTATCCACCAGGGCCGGGCAGGCCTGGTGCTGGCGTGGCGTGGGGCCCGGGTCCCCATGCCCACCCAGGGGCAGGGAGGTACCCACCGCGCCGGGCCGTGGCGTGGGTGCTGGGTGAGTCTCCGTGTACCACTGCTGTGTCTCCCGGTTCACCTTCTTGTAGAGGCCTTCAAAGGCCCTGCGCACGTCCTCCATGCTGAACACGCACACGGCCGAGCCCCCCGCGGGCCCCCTGTGCCTGCAGGCAAGCAGCCGGGTGAGGCGGGGGCCAGGGGAGACCAGGGCCCAGCCCGCCCGCTGCCCGCAGCCCTCCCTGCAGCCGGTGCGGGCGCCCACCACTGGGACGTGAAGACCCCGTAGAAGAGCGTGCGGCGCCAGTCACCGCCGGGCCGGAGCGTGAACACGTCCTGCAGCACGTTGAAGGGGAAGCCGTCCTCCGGCCGCGAGCACAGCAGCTGCGCCTTCAGGAAGGAGGTCCAGCGCTGCTGCAGCACACGCTCCCCGCCCTCATCGCCCTACGGGACGGGGATGGGGAGAGACAGCGCGAGCTTTCAGGAGAGGCCAAGGGGAGGCCGGGCCGCTCGCTGGCCCTGGAAGCTGCCCACCCCCACGCCCTCCCCCATGCCTCGGGAGCCAGGGCCGCTCACCTTGCACACGCGGGCCACTCGAGACACAACCGTGTTCCCGAAGAACTCGAACTCCTGGCCAGTCTCGCTGAAGAAGAAGTAGATCTTGTCGTCGTCGCCCTGGGGGCTGCCCAGGCTCTCGGGGATGTGGGCTGAGGCTACGAAGGCTGGGTCTGCGTGGGGCGGTGGGGTGCGGTCAGCGGAACCTCAGAGGCTGGGGGGGGCCGGGGAGCAGGAGGCGGGCGTTCACCTTGCAGCCAGTTGAGGGAGCTCTCGGTCTTGGTGGGGCGGGGGCTCTGGCTCCGGGCGATGGCCGGGTCGTTGCCCTGGAAGCTGCTCACGGTGCCTGTGTACAGCTCTCCATCTGCCAAGAAAACGTTCCCGTGGGAACGGCTCCCGGCTCAGGGCTGGGGTGACCCCCGCCCCCCGGCCCCCTGCCCGAAGCAGGACCTCGGCACAGGGCCTCGGGCCCGGCCCTCGCGCCCCGCGCCTGACTTCCCATCACTCACCCACCACCAGGGCCGTCGACTTGAAATTGGGGTCAAAGGGACAGCGCCCCTTGCCGTCCTCCAGAAGCACGTTGCCCACGGCGTCCCGGGCCAGGGTGAAGTTGGCCACGTTCTGGGGGGGGCAGACGGGAGGCTCAGGGCGCACAGCCAGCAAGGACCTGCTCATGCGCCGCATGCAGGGCTGAGTGCCACTCCATCCCACTGGAGACCCCAGCTCCTGGGGACCCCAACCCTGGGGCTGAGAAGCTCAGCCTTGGGTCTGGCCCCGCCCTCCACCAAGAACAGCTGGGGGCAGGGCGGGAGGCCAGGCACTCACGATGTAGGTGCACAGGGGGCTGAAGGCGGCCGTGCCACAGGTGAGCAGGTGGGTACGATTCAGGGGCAGCAGGATCTTGATGTAATTCTGACAGTCACGCTGGGGGGGGGGGGGAAGGTGTCATGCCCATGTGTGCCACCAGGGGGTGCTGCCCCGCGCCTCCCAGGAACCCCAGGTTCGGCCCTAGGGCAGGACACTCAAATCTGGGAACAGCAGCCACAGCTCGGGCTCTGCCACTCACTCATTCATTCACTCATTTATTCAGGAACAGTGCCCAGGCCTTGAGTTCAAGTGCCAGGACTGGCAAAAGAAAAAAGAAGAGAGAGAGAATGCTTTGTAGACATTTGCAGGATAAAGGAGTCAAGACATTGAACCTTGACCCCAAGCACAGGAGGCTTCTGGGAATGGGAATGGGTCAGGGGAGGGGAGGAGGAAGAAAGCACCAGGTGAAGCTCAGCGGCCTCCTTCGGGCCCCAGCACACCCCGGCCGGCCCAGGCCATCCGCAGAGACCCAACTCCCACCCACTGCTCAGCGGGGGCTGTGGATGCATGGCACTTAATCGGTGCCAGGTGTCTGGAAACAAGGAGACTGGGCGGGGGCTGGTGGGTCACCCCGGCCCCACCCCGCCCGCCCTGGCTCACCTTGGGGTCCTTGCCCTTGAAGCTGCACTGCTGCTTTCTCTCTGCGTCTGCGCGCCACAGCAGCTAAGGAAGGAGAGGGAGGCCGTGTGCAAAGGGCCCGAGGGCTGGAGTGCCAGGGCGTCCTCCCCTCCCTTCCCGTCCGCCCCGCGCCCAGGGCCCTCACCTCCTGGTATGGCCCCCCGGGCAGGAAGCTGAGGTTGCTGTTGAGCGCAAAGAGGGCACCCCGGGCGCCCACGTACAGCGTCGCCCCGTCCTGGCTGAGCAGAAGGGCTGTGTAGTTGGAGATGTTTTCTGCTTCAAATTTGAGGATCGGCCGCTCTTCCGAGCCTGGGGAGAGGAGGACCCATATTACCTAGAGAAAACTCTAGAATGGGACAGGCGGCAGGCAGGAAGGTCAGTGAGGTGATCGGAGGTGAAGAGTTGGGTTGAAAGGGAGAGCAGCATTTCTGGACCTCAAACACTTCAAGAGGCCACCTCAGCCAAGCACGGGTGGCTCCCACTTGTCATCCCAGCTACTCAGGAGCTGAGATCTGAGGATCGGTGTTCGAAGCCAGCCCAAGCAGGAAAGGCCATGAGACTTTATCTCGAATTAACCACCAGAACGAGAGCTGGAAGTGGAGCTGTGGCTCAAATAGTAAAGCTTTGAGGAGGAAGAAAAAAAGCCAAGCAAAAGGGGAAGGCCCTGAATTCAAGCTCTGGTGCGCATGCGCGCGCGTGCATACATACATACACACACACACACACACACACACACACACACACACACGAGGAAAGATACGAAGTATCTCCTACTCAGCAAACATGGAATTTAGAAGATAATAAACACAACTCAACTTTTTTTTTTGGGGGGGTCTGGTCATGGGGCCTGAACTCTGGGCCTGGGTGCTGTCCCTCAGCTCTTCAGCTCAAGGTGAGCACTCTACCACTTGAGCCACAGCGCCACTTCCAGCTTTTTCTGCTTATGTGGTACTGAGGAATGGAACCCAGGGCCTCATGCATGCAAGGCAAGCGCTCTACCACTGAGCCACCTTCCTAGCCCCTTACAACTCAACTCTTTCTTTTTTTTTTTTTTTGGTCAGTCATGGGGCCTGAACTCTGGGCCTGGGTGCTGTCCCTCAGCTCTTCAGCTCAAGGCTAGCGCTCTACCACTTGAGCTACAATCCCACTTCCGGCTTTTTTCATTTTGCTTATGTGGTGCTGAGGAATTGAACCCAGGCCTCAGGCATGCAAGGCAAGCGCTCTACCACTGAGCCACCTTCCCAGCCCCTTACAACTCAACTCTTTTACTCTGAAAGAAAAATATAAACAGGAAAACAGTGGGAAGTGAGGCTGAGAAGTGAGAAGACGGTGGGTTTCACCCCTGGTGGACGCTCCCTGGGAGGCTGCACCGGTGGGATGTGGATGGAAATCAGAGCGCAGGAAGTAGACACAAATGAAATGGCCGCCCACCGGCTCCGGTTTATGCTCTGAGCAGCTACTGGGTTAGGAGAGAAATTATTTTAAAAATTTTAAACAGCTGACGAGAAACTAGAAGCTCGCACAGCACAGCCCCCAGTCAAAGCCTCGTGGACCAGTGGACTGTGACAGGTAATCAAAGTCGCCGTGGTGTGACGCCGAGGCAGCCAAGTGCCACACCAATGAGTTCAGGCGTGTCTCTACGTCCAGTGCTGGTACAGAGCCTCAGCCTGCAACAACACAAAGCAAAGAAAGGAGTGGAATGTGGGGCTGGGAAGGTGGCTCAGTGGTAGAGCGCTTGCCTTGCATGCATGAGGCCCTGGGTTCGATTCCTCAGCACCACATAAGCAGAAAAAGCCGGAAATGGCTCTGTGGATCTAGGGGTAGAGCGCTCGCCTTGAGCTGAAGAGCTGAGGGACAGCGCCCAGGCCCAGCGTTCAGGCCCCACAACCAGACCCCCGCCTCCCCCCCCCAAAAAAAAGGAGTGCTTGCCTAGCATGCACGAAGCCCTGGGTTCGATTGCTCAGTACCACATACACAGAGAAGGCCGGAAGTGGCGCTGTGGCTCAAGGGGTAGAGCGCTAGCTTTGAGCAAAAGAACCTCAGGGACAGCGCCCAGGCCCTGAGTTCAAGCCCCAGGACTGGCAAAAGAAAGAACAAAGAAAGGAGTGAAACACAAACATTAAAGAAGCACAGACAGACTAGGGACTCACGCCTGTAATCCTAGCTACTCAGGAGGCTAATCACAGTTCAAAGCCAGCCCAGGAAGGAAAGTCCGTGAGACTCTTATCTCCAATAAACCAATAGAAAATTGGAAGTGGCGCTGTAGCTCAAGGGGTAGAGCGCTCGCCTTGAGCTGAAGAGCACAGGGACAGTGCCCAGGCCCAGAGTTCAAGCCCCACAACCAACCAAAAAAAAAAAATAGAAAGGAGGGAAAGAGTCACAAAAGCAGGTCATAAAGCATCTAGAGAGCTTCCAGAGAGGAGTGGTACATTTAGTGCGGAGCCTCATGGGGCTAAAGAGAAAAGGAAAAAGCCACTTGTGCAAGGGTGAGGTTACCAAGAGCCCTGCCTTCTGGATTCACCAGGAATGGCTGCTCCCACGGGCTTCAAGGTCCATGAGAGCCAGAGACCGGAGTTCAAGCCCAGCTTCTGCCTCTCAGAAAGGAAACCTTTAGTTCACTGGGACAAACAACCTCTTAAGGCCTCAGTGTCCTTATCTGCAAAATGGGACCATAATAGCACCACCTGGCAGGGTTGTTAAGGAATGAGATTATGAGTGTAAATAATAATCTACATAATAACCTGCACTGCCCGCCAGCCGTGCTCAAAACACCTCTGCGCACATGATCCCGTGTTGGCGGGGTGTCTGGCACACGCTCCAAAACAAAACCCCAAAACCCTGCAGGAAAATCCAGCTGGGCCAGAGCAGCCGGAGGGGCGGGGTGGCTGGGGGAGTCAGGCCTCCCGACCTGCGTGCCTGGGTGTGGCTGCCGAGGGGCCAGCGTGACCACCAGGGTCTCAGAGCACCTCGGGATCGGCTCGGCTCTGGGATGTGCCGCGTGTCCGGGCAGGTGTGTGCTCGGCCGTGTGGGAGTGCAGTTACCGTCTCAGCTCCCAGGGGTCTGGGGTCACTGCAGAGTGACAGGGTGTCTGTGCTGACGTCTGCCCGCGGTCCTGTCTGGGCCTGCCTGCGTGTGTGTGTGCGCGTGCGCACGCACGTGCGTGTGCAGCCGCAAGGCTTGCCCGTGCTTGTGTGCTCTCTGCGCAGAGGTGCTGGCGCGAGCCGATTCTGTGCCAGGCTCCCTGTGGGGGGCTGGCGGAGTCTCGGGTCGGCGGTCTGCTCCATGGGCCTCTGTCCCCTCGCTCTCCAGCTCTGCCCTCACAGAGGCCGCCCGTCCCGGCTGTGGCTGGCTTCCCAGCAGCCCTGAAACCTCTCCGCCCAGAGGCTGCCCCACCCCAAGAGCCAGAGTGATCTGGGCCCGGCACACCTGTAATCCCGGCTCCTACCGGGCCCCACCGGGCGTGTGGGCTCTCAGCAGAAGCGACGTGGAAACCGCTCAGCCCCCATCCCCATCAGGCCCCCTACTCGCCCCTTCCCTGACTCAGCCGGAAGCTTGGGTCCGGACGGGATGGCTCCGCCAGTCCCCACCCAGGCACTGTGACTCAGCCCCGCCCTGCCTTTCCCTGCTCCACAGCACCTGGCCCAGCTGGCGTGGCTTGGGGTGCTGACCTGGCCTCTGCCAGCCTCGGCAGGCGGGAGCCAGGAAGGGGGCGGGGCAACTGTCACTTCCGCCCACAGAGGACCCTGGGCTGGGACGCGTCCCAGGAACCCAGGGTCCACACACAGCAGCGGCAGCTCCAGTGGCTGGCTGGGCTACGGTGAGCAGTGAACCAGATCCAGGCCTGACACGCGTCCAGCACTGGGCAGGAAGTGGCAGCCACTCCCTCCCGGGCAGAGTCCACAGGGAAGGGCCACTCACAGCCAGGGCTGTACACCTACCGGAAGCCCCAGCCTCCACGGGGACCTCCTCTTCTCCCTGGGGAGCCCCCAGTGAGCCCTGGGTGGTGCGGCTGGTGCCCACTCAGGCCTGAGCTCTGCCCTCCTGAGCCCACGCGGGTGCAGCTGGTCCACGCACAACCACGCCCCTCCTTGCTTCCCACAGCGGTGTGAGGCAGCAACCCCACGGCCTTGCACCTGCAGGCCCACGCTCTCCCACAGCCGCGCCCGGCCTGACAGCTCCACTCGTTCTAAGGAAATTGGGCCCACTGAGGACAACCCCCCCCCCCACCACCAAGCCAGGAGACATCATGCCGGTGAAGAGCACTAGTTTCTTTAAATGCGCGCTGCCACCCGGCTCCCCACCCGCGTCCCCCTCCCTGGGGAATGCCCAGCGCGGTGCGGCTCCGGCTTCTAAACACCAGCACTAACTTACAATGTCCTGAGCCGCCAGGAAGCCACAGGAAGGCCCGGCTGGCGGGCGTCCACACCTCGCCAGCCTCGTCAAGCTGGCCGTGCCCCGGGGCCTCAGCTGGCCCCCAGGCCGGGTCCACGGCTGACCTCAGCGATTTCCTCACCAGATGCGATTACATAACAAGCCTGTGACGGAGGGGCGAAGCCGGACAGTGGATGTGCGGGGCTGGTGTTCTGGGAGGAATGCGGTTCTGCGCCGGGAGCCGCGGCCCACACCTGGCTCTGTCTCTTTCTAGCCGATGCCCCTGACCAAACAAATCACCTTCTCTGAGCCTCGGCATCGCCCCCCCACGGCCGAACACCTCCACTCCCTGAAGCCCACCTGGCGGCCTGTGCCTGGCCCTCAGACAGGCCTTCCCCCTCCACGGGAGACCAAGACCCAGGGGCCTCTCCTTGGAAACGTGCAGAATTCCCATGATGCACCAGGGCAAGTCTGCCCTCCGGGACCCCAGCCTGGACACGACCAGACGTGACACACAGCCCGGCACCCACGGCCGCCGCCCCACTACCTTCTAGGCTCCACGGCTGCGCTGACCAGCCCCACGGCAAGGCCGGTCACGGTGGTGGTTAAAGAGTGAGCAGGGAGACCCCAAAGAAGGGGAGGAGCAAGGCCTGCTGGGCGCCTTGACCCGGGCTTGGCGGAGAACGTGTGCGGAGATGTGTGCAAGCGTTCTGCGCAGCAGAGGGGGCGGGGAGAGGCGGGGGTGCGGCTCTGTAAGTGCACCAGGTTCTGGGGGCAACGGGGGCATCTGAACGCGGGGCAGGACTGGAGTGGTGGCGTGCCTTCCTAGCAAGTACAAGGTCTTGAGTTCAAATCCCAATAGCCCGCAACAGGGCGCATGTGAAACCGAGGAGCCCCCGCTGGGACGCTACCGGCCCTTGGCGCCCTTGTCTACCTGCTCCCCAGGAGGGGGGCTACTGGCACCCCACGGCACGGGTGATGGCAGCCCTGGCAGCTTCAGCCACCCGTGCAGCCAGCAGCTCCTCCCGGGGATGCAGCACGGGGGACGGACCAGCATGGCAGCGGGGTGATGGGTCCCACCACGGCTCCAGTCTGCCAGTGGGGAGTCAGGCATGCACAAGGCTGGCTTGCAAGACCAAGACTCGAACCCAGTGCCCATGCTTTCTCCCACTGTTCAGCCAGGCTCTCAGCATGCTTTCTCCCACTGTTCAGCCAGGCTCTCAGCATCCACAGCTGCGTTCTAACCCGCTCCAACCCGGCCACCCAACCAGACAAGCAGCAGCCACACCAAGGGGGAGGCCAGGGGTCGGGAGGAGGAGACCGCACGGCAGCCAGCGCCCGGGGAGGCCCTGACCCTGGAGACCAGCTCAGGACCTGAGGACACACAGTCAACTGCCCAGCTCCTACTCTCTGATCAATTCTTATTTTGTTTGTTTTCTCGTGTCAGTCCTGGGGCTTGAACTCAGGGTGCGGGCACTGTTGCTTAGCTTTTTCATTCAAGGCTGGTTCTCTTCCACTTGAGACACAGCTCCATTGCTGGCATTTTGCTGGCTAATAGTAAGAATTACAGGCCTTCCTGCCCAAGCTGGTTCAAACCCAGTTTTCATATCTCAGTCTCTTGAGCAGCTGGGGTTCCAGGAGTAAGTCGGGTGTAGACATTAACAACGCCCCTCTGTCCCCAGCAAGGGTACGGGGTATCTCGGCGGGGCTTGAGGAACACGTTTCCTTTCTTCCCACGTGGCCAGGTGGGGAGGCACTGCGCCCCACAGTCCTCATCATTCCTCACCCCATTTTGGTCCTGGAACTCTGCTGGCAGAGAACCCTAGGCCCATACTGCCCCCCCGAGACACTCCTTCCAAGGGACGTCGCCTAGCCTTGTCTCCTTCCACAAACAGGGGCCCCTGCTGCCCCTCGGCTCCACGCTGCTCATGGGAGCACAGACTGGATGTCACTGTGGGGACCTTTAAACCGTAGACAGAGTGACTGTCCTTGAGCATCTGTGTCCCAGGGGACCAAGAGTAGGGCAAGGCAGGTGGCAGGAAAGGGGGTGTGGCCCAGAGAGGACTGTGTGGGAAGGGCCCCGGGGTCCCCCCATCCTATGGTCACCAGAGGCCCTGGACAGGCAGGCTGCCAGGAACATCTAACAAGCCCCCCTGGGAGAAGGCAGGAAGCCGACAAGGGCCGTGCGCTGAAGTGAGCCTGCGCGCCAGCAGGTGGGTCCCCTGAGGGGCCCTCAAGGACTGGTGGGGACTGAGGCACGGAGGGCCTGGTGGGGGCTGAGGCACGGAGCAGTCCACCACGGACAGCAGTGTGCTCCCAAGTCCTGCGTGTGGGGCGCTGGGAACCACTGAACCCAGGGCCTTGGGACAGGAAGAGGGGGCCCTACACGTGGACCGGACCACAGAACCCAGGACCCACAGCCTGGGACACAGACTGCATTTCGGGCCCTTGCGCCCCCTCTGCAGGCCCGGCAGGAGGGCTGGGGTGACACGGGCCCACGGCAGCCTGCGTGTCTGCGCCAGTCTGTGCGGAGCGCCAGCCACTTCTGCCAGTCCTGCACCCTGGGAGAAAACCTACCCGGTCCATGGTGGAACATCCACCCCCCGAGCCACGGCATCTACCAAGCCACGGCATCCACCTGAGCCACGGTGTCCACCTGAGCCACGGTGTCCACCTGAACCAAGGCATCTACTGAGCCACGGCGTCCACCTGAACCAAGGCATCTACTGAGCCACGGTGTCCACCTGAACCACGGCATCCACCGAGCCACGGCGTCCACCTGAGCCACGGTGTCCACCTGAGCCACGGCGTCCGCCCGAGCCGCAGCGTCCGCCCGAGCCGCAGCGTCCACCGAGCCGCAGCGTCCACCGAGCCGCAGCGTCCACCTGAGCCACGGCGTCCACCGAGCCGCGTCCGCTGCCTCCCTCTGCCACCCACGGAGGAAGACGGGTCAGCGTCCGGAGTCATCCCCAGCGGGTGAGGGCCGCGGAGCGGGGCAGGACACCTGTCCTTGCTCACGCACCCCGCGAGCCCCCCAGAGGCTGCAGGTGAACACACCCGCACCCGCACCCGCACCCCGCAGAGCCCCAGCCCCTTCGCGGCCGTCCCCGGTGACCCCATCTTACCGGGAGGGAACCGTGCGCACTAAGGGGCTGGGGCAGGCCTTGAACTCGGTCCCCTGCCGTGGGGCGGCGGCGCGGGGCCTCCCTCCCTCCTTCTGGAAGGCCGGGCTCTCTGGGGCCGCGGCCGCCGTCCGCGGGGAGGAAGGCCGCGCCGTCCATTGTCCAGCGCGCCCCGCTTCTGCTCTCGGGGCGCCCGCGGCGCACGGAAGCCGGGGTGCGGGAGGAAGCAGGAGGCGCTCGCCG